CTCTGATTGTAAAATCTCTACTTCTAGAGCCCTCTTAAAATCTTTAAAATAGCTGCAAAGATAATACTTTTCCCTTTTTAAAGAAAAATGTTTTCCCTGCTTGCTCAGGATAAGTAAAGAGAGTGCCAAAGTTCAATCTTACTATTTATGTTTCTGCATAAGGATGGTTCTATTTCGAGTGGAGTTGTAGTTGGATTATATTGATGCAGTGATATGAGCACCTGTTCTGTGGTCATCCTTTTGAAAGAAATAAAATATACTCACCATGTACACCTGCAGCACATTATATGAGAGCTACTGTTCTCATGTATCGCATGTGTTTATTTGTGCTGTCATCCTGGGGTGGATATCTATGACATTTATGTTAAAGATAACAGAAGAGATGAAACAGATAGATCTCAGTTGAAGTACACTGACTAGCAATTTTTTTAGTATCCTTTCTTTCCAAGTCTTTTCTCCAATCTGAAATTCCCCGAAGCCCAAAAGCTCCAACAGGCCTTTCAGACTCCGTTTCGGTTAACCTCCTTGTTGACCTGCTCTCCCTGTAGTCAGTCAGCATGACCCATCTCGGAGTGAGGTGCGAGCCCTTGGACTTGGAATTTGGCAAGGTTATTGAACATGTGGAAGGAGAGCTGCTCTAGAACATGAAAACCTGACCTTTTACCAACTCTACTTCTCTTGTCAAGTTGCGTCGCCTTTTCCAAAACCAATTTTCTCTTCCAAATGAAGTGGAGGTATCTTAGGCCCGTCCTGCCCACTTTCTCTGGGAGGTAAAGTTGGAAGTATGACAAATAGGCCAAAGCCAAATGTCATCTGACCTGGTTATAGGAATACAAGACTAGTCAGGCCATCGGTGAGCAGGTTCCCCCCGACATTTCTCTCAGGGTTACCTGGGAACTTCTCTCAGGAGGTGGTATTTATTAATCTCCCTGTAGTAAGTAGGTAGATTCCATGTCACGTTCTTGTATTCCCAGTGACTAGCACAGCTCCTGGGTATAGTCTCATTCAGTAAATGCTAGTTGAATAATGAGGGAGCTGTTTCTTCCCGAACTCTGTAAGTAGTAACAGCCGCCGATTGAGCACCACGTTGAATGTGGTGTCGAAATACCCAGAGACTACCAGAGGGGATCCACGGCTTCCAGTCCAAGTGACACTTTCTCACCTGAGAGGTGACAATGATGACCTAGGCCTCAGGGTTTTGGGGAGGTTTAAATGAAAAATGTATCCCAAAGCTGGTTCAGATTAGGTACGTGGTAAAGGGGGGAAGAGGAGTAGGGGGGGTCAGATCCGGGATAATTTCCACTCCACCACCTGCACGTGCTGCGAAGTGGAAGAAGCCATGTAACTTCTGAGCGTGTTTCCATCTGATAAAGGAAATGATAACAAAAGATAAAGGCTCCTACAAACGTAAGAAATTTAGTGTTAGTGGAAAGAATCGCGGACTGAAATGTATAAAACCTAGCTTTGGCACTCGTTAGTTCTGCAACTTAAGCTACTAAAAAACCGTTTTTTTCCTCTATAAAATGAAAGACTTCAGTTAGTCTATTTTTGATGCTTTTCCTGTTAATAGCGACGAATTTGTAGAAATTCTGTTAATGTGCATACAGAATTAAAGCAATCACATATCTGTAATTTTAGGCCTTAGGAGTACTAAGAAAACTTTGCACTAAAACTTCTGTCCATCTGAATCATGTCTGAATTTATACACTTCATTCTCCTTTCCTGTGGCTAAAGAATTTGGCTGTACTTAGGAACACTCCAAGCTTTTCTCAGTGTTCTCACCTCAACACTAATGCATTCAGCTCTCTTATGTTTCCCATTTCAGTGAGATGGGGGTGGGGGGGATAACTGAAGACCAACTTGGCTGTTGCACAGTTTTACCTAGGTTTGTCCCACGCATCAGTGGATTAATCTGGCAGATGCATTCATAGGAATGAAAATGCGGCTTGGGACAAGAATTTCCAGGCTCTGTAACCATGACAACCGTCTCCAGGCTCTTCATTTTACAAATGTCACACCTGTGGTACTTGTAAGAGCCTTGGACTTCGTCCCATCTAGTCCTCTCCTTTTCACATGGGAAACAGGGGCCTAGAGAAGCAACTTCCTCGCAGCCGCAGTGACTGAACAAAGAAAATCCAAAGTCTCAACAAACTTCCTGCTGTATGCTTGGTTACCCTACAGGGAGTTACCACTGAGAAAATAAAACCTGGTGCTTCCCCGCAGTTCCAGTGTTCATCATAAAACCTGCCTTTGGATGTCTTCCTCCTCCTCAGATAGAACCACAGGTGTTCATTTTATTTCAGGTGTGACATTTTACAGCATTTCGCACTTTTAACTGAGAAGTAGAGTTGGGGTAATTGTATTTGAATTCTTCTGATAATCTTTTCTTAATCTTAGTTAACTTTATAGAGGGCTGATGCTATGCTAGCCACTGTGCTACGCTAAAAGCTTTACACGGGCTATCTCATTTAGTCTTCCAATAAGGAATGCTATAACCTATGAGGAACTGCATCTTACAAGTAAACGAAGTGAGGTTAAGTAGTTTTGCAAAGTCGTATGGCTAGTATCTGATAGGCCTGAGATGAATTCAAGCAGTCCAACTTAACTACAGTAAGTCCTCAATGTTCTTCAGTAGGTTCTTGGAACTGTGATGAAACGATGTATAATGAAACCAATTTTACCACAGGCTAATTGATATAAACAAGAGTTCAGTTCGTATGGCATCTCATCATTATAAGGAAACAACGTTGAATGAAATAAACATTTTTCGAGGACCTGCTGACCTCTTCACACTCGGCACATGGTAGAAGGAACAAGGAGTCGGTCTTCTTGTTGGTTACAATCGTAGATACTCCAAAATCGCATAGGCTCATGGATTGGCTGGGTGCCCAAGTGTGTTCATGCAGCAGTACAAGAGCTCCATGGAAAAGAATTGCTTATACACGCGTGCACGCATGCATATACTTTTATCTATATGTAAATAATGTGTCATGTCTAACATCTTCAGTGATTTTTCCATCTTGAGTTTATTAGCTTATGTTGGTGGGATAGATTATCACTAATAATTATTGGAAGAAGAAAGAACGATCTTCACAGCACCTTGCGCATAGCAGCTCTTTGAGAAGTGCCTATTAAATTAATGCTTATTTTCTAAGGAAAAAGGCACTGGATCAGGAACCAGAAGATCCAGGTTCTAAGTCCTGGTTGTAACAGCAGCTCACTGTGAGAACTAGACCAGGTCCATTTCCAGCAAGGAGCCATGGTTTTCCGTGCCTACAATGAGTCCGGAAGTACAAGGATTCGTGATTCTGCAGCTGGGCATTCAAGCGTGGCAGGTTGGATTGCCTGGCATTGTCAGGTCCCGAAAAGATGCATCCAGACTAGGATGCTTCCTCCTCTCTAGCTAGAGACTGTTAGAACGCAGAAGCCCCTCGGAAACGAAAGGGCGAACGGAGCAAGAGCCACATCGGTAAAGCTGCGGGAGTGACTAGATCCTAAAGTGGGAAAGTAACGTAAGTGATGTGAGTGGGGCAGAATCAAACTTAGAACAGTTTCAAGATTACCCCCCCAGGACCGTGAGCAGTAGCAGAGCTGTAGCGGTATGAACCCCAGTGCCTTAAACATAACAAGAGTCCCGAAAGCATGGAGGAGGGAGCATTTTGCAAAAAGCTGGGGGCCCCTCAGGTTCTGGGCTTTTATTCTTTGGCATCTAAGAGTGTGGATTCAACCTGCCCTTGATTCTGACTTTTCTTCATCCTTCCCATACGCCCCCTACTCGCTGGGTAAAAACCATGGAAATGCAGGTTACAAACCAAATAGAGAGCTGAGGTTTCTGAGATGTTTTGATCTCCAAAGGTTCCCCATCTGTCCTTCCACCCGCTGACTCACTAACGTTTTTCTGATAAGAAAACCTTCGACTTACTTGATTACAGTAATATTAGCAGTTTACAGTGCCTCTTGTACAATCCCAAATCCAAAATGGTCTGATTTTTAAAATAATTCTGGGGCAAATTTAGGAGTAAACCTGACCAAAACTGACAGGGTGCTATTTGCAGCCTTTATATACCTCACTTAGTGGGGATAGTCAAATGTTTGGTGGCAGAAATCTTCATGTGTTTGATTACAGACTGCCTCCACAGACCCTGCTGTGGATAGCACTCAATGTATGGAAAATGCACCTTACTACCTTTCTGAAACTGGGAAAATTCTAAATTCCAAAAACATCTGACCCTGAGAATTTCGGAGAAGAGACTGTCAACCCATGAATTGTTTTCTGTAAATGTTGGTGTGTTTGTTTATCCCTTAAGGAAATATATTGTCCTTCCTTTGCAGAGAAAACAAAGCGAGGGGAGGAAAGAAGCAAAACAAACGTGTTCATTTAATAAGCCGTAGGGGAAGCTTTTTGGGGTCAGGGTCCTCAGTAGGAGTAGATATTTGGAGGACATAAATCGAGATCTTTCCCTTTCCTGCAATTAAAAAATAATAATAATAAATAAACAGATTTCACTGGAACTGCATCCTCCCTTCTCCGCCTTTGGAGCAACCTGAGCTTTCAAAAGCTGCTCAGCCTCGTGTGCGTGTGACTCACGGTACCATAGCGCCACCTTCCTTCCAGAGGTGGAATCGAATCTCCACACCGCCACTGGCCGACTTGCCTGCCTCAGCTGTTTAATCCGCAAGACTGCAAGAAAACAATTCCTTGACGCTCAAATCATAAAAGAAGAGCTGAAGAGGGGGAAATAAAATGTGTTTTCTTTTCTTTGGTCTCTGAGCAGTTCAATTCGTAACCTAATCTGATGTTCGGGAGTGTGGGCCATAATCCCTGTGTTTAATTAGTTTGCACCTAGTGAGTCATTTTATGCATTGGACATTTTAATTTACAACCTGCTGCACTGCAGCACTTTTCTAGGCCTTCTGCTATGTAATATGATATTCTTCTTTAAATATATAGATATACTTTCCTAGTTCAGATATTTTTTTTCTTTCTTTTCAATTTTCAGTTGCAAATCAAACATGCAGTTACAGAAGCAGAGATTCAAAAACTGAAGACCAAGGTAAGCACCACTCAGTACATGGTGTTTGAAATTGTATTTTTTAAGCTTTGGATGCTATGAATAAATTCATAGGACTAAACTATTCGTCCCCATGCATTTAAAAGAATACAAATGTGAGATTCATTTCCACTGTTAGATGCACAGACAAACCTACCAGTGAGGGCATTTACCCCTAGGGGGTTAGCACCGCCATACCCGCTTAGTGAAACTAGCACAATACTTTAAAAATACTTATTTACACATATGTGTTTCCCTCTGAGCTTTCCTCAAAAAGTAAATAACTTTAATGTTTCCAACATCCAAATTACGTTTTGACCCCTGATTCCTTAAGCACAAGCAGTATCTCTTTCTCTTTGTTTATCTTATTTTTGATAGATTTAATCATTTATTTTTTTACTTATTCTTTGGAAACAATGTATTTTAACATAGCACATTTATTATTTTTATAGAAAAAATGTCCAATTCCTAATAAATACTATGAAATTTAGTATAATAGATGAATAATTGCTTTTAGGTGCCAGATGCTACTGGGAATTTTTAGTTGTTCACATTATTTAAATTTATGAAAAAAACAGGTTATGGTGAAAGGGTGTATGTATTTTTGGTTTATATACTGGACATGCCAGAAAAAAATGTATACAAGTGGACACTTTGGTCAGCATTGCTCGAGCAGTAGTTCACCGTAATCAGAAGTGTCTGGACGCTGATGGTAACCACTTTGAGCACCTCTTGTAATTGCAGAAGTCAAACGTAACCTCTATTCATCTTTTGTTATCGATATATATTATTACAATTTTAATAGTTTTTTTCCTTTGTTAAAATGTGTATACATTTTTTTGGCACCCTCTGTATAATACAAGATTCAAAAAGGCATTGTTATTTGGTAAATTTTAAGGTATTTGGAAATTCCTAGAATTGTGTCTAGTTTTATCAAATAGGTAATTTTCAGAGATTTAAAAGTATCTTTTCAATTACTTCTAAAACAATATTCTTTATTGTTTTTATGCTCTTTTAAAAATGAAGACATAATTCCTCCCCCACCACTAACGCCCTGTTTTCCTGTTCACATTGAAGACTTGTTTTGCTTTTTCCATGTGTTTTAAATGGAGATGAATTAGCAAGGCTATTTTGGTTAAATGGTATTCCCAGCTAATAACTCTGTAGCTCTTTAGTCAAAACATGTCTATACATCATTCATGGTGTCAGGCAAGCTCTGTGAATAATAATTTTTAAATTAGTAGTGGTTGGTAAATAAACAACTTGAGTACAAAACATTGCTTTAAAAAGATGCAGTAAAAACACAGTCCTGTTTTAAATTGCTATTGTTTCTTGGTGTGGAATGGAAAAATCAAAGACTTTTAAAAATTGTTGGTTACAATCAGGGAAAAAAGTTCCCATTTGATGTAAACGCTTTAACAAAGCTTATGTTTTAGACTACAAACATTTAATTTAGAAAATCCTATAAATTAATATTTTATATTTTTCTCATTGTATTGGCGTGTAATATCCATAGGTTAACTTACTTTACTATGACTCTATATCCATATTGATAATAGAATTCCTAATTTTGAAATGTTTTTGACTACTTTTTTACTTTTTAACCACCTTTGACAATGTATTTAGTTTAAAATAGATATAAAACCACATATATAGATTTCATTTGCAGAACCCTGTATGGTTTTGGAATGTCTTAGAGTTTGAACACTGATAGCTGATAATGACTCTGCACCCCTTTGAACCATGAAAGAGGCGTGTGAAAGAGATGAAGCACTCGCTTAAAGATCAGGCAATTACAGTGCGTAAATGGCCTTTGACCCCTCACCTGAAGGCTCAGCCTTGAGTTTCTGTAGAAATGAGGGGGTTGGACTAGTACACTGTCTATTCCTAAGAGCTTCTGGAAGCCGAAACCACAGGAAGCTAGCTGCCTTTCTGTCTCATTGGAGGGATTTCAATTAACTCAGCAAGAATTTATATGTTTACTTATGCACTGTCTTTTATACTTTTATGCAGGTTGGGATTTTTAAGGCTCAAATATTGCCGGTAAAATAAGGAGCTACAGATTATGTTCATGTGAATTGAAATTAAGGATGTAATAATTTCATCAAAAGGGCTAAAAAGAAAGTAAAATAACTAACATGTATCAGGTTATTATGCCCAAGGAGCTATTCTAAGCACGCTGATGTTGGAGAACTTCAGTTACTTGCCCAAGGTTTAAAAGCCAATGGTGGCCGAGCTGGGATTCAAATTTGCACTGAATGACTCCAGATGACCCCTGTTAACCCTTAGGTCCCACTGTGCTTCTGTCCCTGTCTCCTTCCCAACTTACCTCCTCCCACCTGTAGTTTTTTTTTTTTTTTACCATAAATAAATAAATAACCTCTAAAAGAAAACATGTCGAAATACATTGGCTAGAATCAGTCAAACTCTAAAATGTTTTCTGCTGCTCACAGAATTTCAGACTACACAGTGTGATGGAAAGATCATGGGAGGTGGACTCACACCCGTGTTTTATCATTTGTCACATGGGTGACCTTGGACAAAGCATTTCACTTTTCAAGGCTTCCAATTTATAATCTATGAAATGATGAAAATAACACTCGCTCTTCTTATCTCAAGGTGTTTGGTGATTGGGTATATGTAAATTGAATGTAATCTAAAGCATGCTATAAAAATACAACAGATTTTGTTACAGAGGTACCCAGATTATCTTTCCCTTGACATTTTATTTATCCAGCTGCAAGCAGCAGAAAATGAGAAAGTGCGGTGGGAACTAGAAAAAACTCAACTCCAACAGAATATAGAAGAGAATAAGGAAAGAATGCTGAAGCTGGAGAGCTACTGGATTGAGGCGCAGACATTGTGCCACACCGTGAACGAACACCTCAAAGAGACTCAAAGCCAATATCAGGCCTTGGAAAAGAAATACAACAAGGCAAAGAAACTGATCAAGGATTTTCAACAAAAGTAAGCAGCTTCTAATGACTAAAGAATAGTTGTGTGGGTTGAGAGAAGGTTTGTGTCCAATAATTCTGTAATCTCTAATGAAATAGAAAAGATGACCTCAGAAGTATCCCTCTAAGAAGCACAGTTAAAGCAAAACTAGACGTTAAGTTTTGGAAATCGCTTCTACCGTTTTTCCCATAGGAGATTATATTTTGTTTGTTTTACCTTTTTTTTTTTTTTTGGCAACCAGTGATCTCATGAAATGTTTTTGATAGTTAACCAGTAGCAGTAACTGTGAAAACATTTGACTATCTATCCTTTATGAAACACCTCGGTGATTCAGAAGCAAGAGGGCCAGCTGAAGTCAAGCAGAATGACTACTTGGACACGGTACATGCAGAGCAGCAATTAGGGCCTTGCTGGGGCTGTTTCTGTCTCTACTCTTAGAATCAGTAACTGCAGAATTTTCCCACTACAGAGAGTATAAATATTGACTAGCAAGACCCCCTGCCCTGCCACTTCACTGCAGCAAGAGGCCATCACTGCACTCTGCTCTTGAATTTCAACAGCTCTTTCTGAGCCAGTGCTGCTCTGCCTCCGTCTGTTGGATCTTAGTCTAATTTCAGGGATACTGACCAGGGAGACTTTTACTGGATTTTTTTCACCAGTTACTTCTGGCTAGCTAAAACAATAAAAAGTAATGCCGGTATCACTTCTGGTCTTCCATGCCAAGCCCCAGAAGCTAAGCATATATGCAAGATGATAACCCTGTTATTTCCTCCCGTGGAAATAATATTTGTAATATTTAAAAGAGATTGCTATAAAAAGTTTATTATTAGAAAGGGGGAAATTGTTCTTTGTGAATGTGAATTCAATACATTGCTATTTTAATTCTTCTTGCCAAAAATATTATATCTAACTCAATTTCGTGTAATAATTTTATGATGTTTTGCTAAATTTGCATATTATATTCCAGGCTCTCAAAATACAGATATTTCTCCTTCTCCCCATATTATGCTCAGGTGTGTAAGTGACAGCTCCCCCTCAGTTTTTCTGGCCCACCCAAGCCCCTTTCGACTGTCATTCATAGGAAGCAATCTTATTGTAATTATGTCTTTCAAACTCTTACCATCCAGTTCCGTCAGTTTACTAGGTATATTACTTTGTAAATGTGGAATTATACCTACCTCACATGTAATTATCTCCACTAAATTACCCAAGGTGAGTCATTTGTTCATTAGCTCCTATCTAAATATTTATGGGTACTCTGGAATCAGGAGCTACAGGTGAAAATCATAGTAAGCAGAATCAAAGCATTTTTCTTTGTGATGCATTGAAATGTTTTATTTGCTTTCATTATTATATACCTTTTCTCTAACTGCGATTGAGCTTTAGTTATTTAAATTGCTGTCCAATTATTTATCTGTGCAGTTTATTGCTTCTGATAAGAACTTTCACATTTTCTCATTTGTTGAGTGTTTCATGCAATCCGATCTATTATTTTCTTCTTAAGAGAACTTGATTTCATCAAAAGACAGGAAGCAGAAAGAAAGAAAATAGAAGAGTTGGAAAAAGCTCATCTTGTGGAGGTTCAGGGCCTCCAAGTCCGGGTGAGTTATGTGCTCAAAGCCACTGAATAATAGGATAGTTTTGCCTAGTGCTCAGAGAGGAGTGCTGGTTTAGAGTTTTGTACATGAATTTTTTTTCTTCTTAGATTAGAGATTTGGAAGCTGAGGTGTTCAGATTACTGAAGCAAAATGGGACTCAAGTTAATAATAACAACAACATCTTTGAGAGAAGAACATCTCTTGGTGAAGTCTCTAAAGGAGATACCATGGAGAACTTGGATGTCAAGCAGACATGTTGTCAAGATGGCCTAAGTCAAGGTTTGTTTAACCTAAACACAAAGATTGTTTTTAATGACTGTAAAATGTGGCCTTATGCTCTTCTTTTTCATACCCAGAGATTTAAAGGTTGAAAAAGCCTTCCTGCTGTGGGAAAGAAGGAAAGGCTTACCACAATAGGAATTTATCATTTAGCACTTATCTTATCAAAAGTAAATGCTTTGATGTAAAGAAATAACAAAATTCCAACTTAATACAAGCCAGATATTTTAAAACCATCATAATATTGATAGACTTAATAAAATTCCTTAAAGTGATAATTCATCCTGTCTAGAGTAAGCTACACTACTTAGGTATTAATGCATAAGGCTTAAGTTTCTTAAATCACTAAAGATCTTTTTCATAGCATCAGAAGGCTGATTGCCTACTTCTAGCCCTTGGAATTCATTGAGTTAAGAAGTTTTGTACTTTTCCCTTGGTGTCCTATATACAGAGAGTGCCAAAAAACAGTATACACATTTTAAGAAAGGAGAAAACTGTATTAAAACTGTAATACTCAATATATACTGATAACAAAAGATGAATACAAGACATTTGTATACATTTTTTTGACACCCTGATATATATATATATTTCTCATTCTTCCCAGTCAAAAACCAAATCGGACCAAAACACTGGAAACATTTTTACACAAATGGTTGTCTTCTTTCATACACCAACCATAAATAAATCACTGATTTTCTCAAACACACATACACCCATACATAAATTGTGTGTATATGAATGTGAATGAGTGGTTTAATATCTGTAGTATATTTATAAATTAGAAAATGTATAAGAATTTATAATGATAAATATACAGGAGGATATAAAACTTTGGGTTTCATCTTTTAAAAGCTACCTCGTAGTCCTTGGAAAAAGTGAAAATAAAAGAACGTGTCACAGCATTATCCTGAGAGGATTGACAGCTCACAGGCTGTGATTGGACATGCAGTGAAACCCTTCACTGATGAGCTGTGTAAACCTTTGGTAAACTTGCTCACGTATTAACATGTCTCCAGTGAGATTTTCCTGATAAACAAGTGTTTAGATCATATCATTTACTTGTAGAACTGAACTCTTAGCCATTAAAAATGAAAAGTATTGGAAATCTTCATTTAAAATTAAAATACTTAGAGATATGAGACTATTGCCTAAGTGTATGTCCCTTTGCTGGGTCTTCCTTTAATAAGCTATAACCTGTAAATAACGCCCCCTGAGCAACTTAAATTAAAGTGTTTAGCTCCAGCATTTCCACTAACTGACAAGCTCTGTGGTTTCAGGAAGGTCGTTCAACTTCTCTGGGTTGGTTTTACTGATGTAACTATAAAAATAGTAACACTTCCCTCTTCCCCACCTTAAAGGGTGTTTTGAGGGTATATGACTTAGTCTACGAGGTACAGAAAAGCAAAGCAACTTTATTAGAGCTTTCATAGAATTATAATATATCTGGAACTCTATAAGATTGAGTTCTAAAGAAAAATTTCAGAAATCAAATCAACATTTTTTTTCATGTTCTTGAATATTTTAATTCTTAAAATTAATTACAGATGATAGTCAATAGATGTCCCTGCTGTGGCATGCACCAAGTATGATCAGTAACCAGTAGCTTTCCAGAGTTCAATTCATTTCCATTCATTTCTTTCAGTTAAGAAATCTGTGTCTTGTGAAACATATAATCAATGGTATTTATTAAATTATATGACTACAGAAGATCAACAAACTGTACTATTAGCATACTGATTTGGATCAAAGCCTTACATTTCTTCTGCATCCTTTTTCTCTTCTACACCCTCCATTTTGCCACATAATTATCAGTTTCCCTGGCAACACTGTTGGTTCACAGTGAGATGCTGAGACTACTAATTCTCGCCGAAACCAATCCATGCCTGTGCAGTAGAGGTAGAATCAGTCATCGCAGGCATTAGTAGTATACATATCAAGAAGAGCAAGGCCTGCTCTTCCAGTTTTGCTGCTGAGGACAGTCAGTGATAAATCTCCTTGAATTTCAATTGCTTGATCACATAAACTAAATGGCTTGGTCAGTAACTAGATAGGAATGCTCTGGAAATCACTTTTCTAAATTGATCCTTTGCTTCCGTTGCTAGGGAACACTGAAGTCCTAGAGGTTTAGAAAAGGCAGTAAAATTGCAGGCCAAACACAGGCCATTCGGCATTTCAGAACCACCCCCCTCCCCCAACACACACCTTTGTGCAGCAGGGTGGGTACCGTGGTTACCGGCAGGTCCACCAGCTCCTGCCCCGTGGACAGTGCTCTGCCTCCCCACCTCCTGTGAACTGTCCAGTTTCAATTTGCTTTCCAAGCACTGGAGTGTTTTATTGATAGGATGAGTTGTTTAGCATACTTTTAGGCTTTGAGGCAGATCAATGAAGCAAAGGGATTATCAATTATAGGTCAATGAAAAGTGATGTTAAAATGAAATAATAAAAAAAGAGAAGGGAAGGGGAGTGTGAAGGAGTCAGAAGGGAAAGCGGAGGAAAGGAAGAGACCGTGAGCAGGCGTTTCTTCACATGTACTCATGTTCTTCCAGGACAGAGCTTCCCCGCGGGGGATGGATTCTGTGACTCTGGATATAGACTTATTGTAAAATTTTAGAATGATAAAACCATTTTTTAAACCATGCACAAATTTACCACAGTTATATTTAAACATGATGTGTATCGTTCTCTCTATAAACTAAGCCCACTCAAGTATCTCATTAAATTGTTGATAGAGTATATATACAAATTTATTATTTAATATATTTTACTATTTTTCTTATCATAATAGATAAAGCAAATATAACAATTATTTTTTTCACCAAGAGCCATAACAAGCCCTAAGTCCCTTCTAGTCTGTGCCAGTGTGCTGGTCAAATATTATTTTATGTGTTCAAGGATGTGAAAAACAATAATTTTGCCCTACTGCCATGTTTCGTGATTGTCTTTTCTTAGTGCTGAAGTAATCCTGGTCAATATTAGAGTTCTCTGCCTTGTCTCCAAGTGCCCTGAAGTGACTGGATAGGTCTGTGGCTGCCCAGCTGGTTAAGCCAGGATTAGACTGAGAGCAGAGAACAGGCACATTGGAGGATCTTGGAATTAAGGGCTATCCTCTTGGTTTGATTAGATTCCCTAGAAAAGTCACTTAAACAGCATGTTCTTACTAAGCTTCTAGATATTCCAGAATCCTTATGATAATACTGTTTTTAGCTTCAAATATTTTAAATGCTGCTTGGTAAAGGTTATGCATATTCCATAGACATACTGAAAGACAGGCCAGGACGGAGAGGTGAAAATCATATAAAGGCAGATTATGATTATCCGACCTGGAGAGGTCAGAAGTAAGTACGATACCTTTCGAAAAGTGATTGTGAACTCTGAAGCCTGGTGGCACATTGACCTGTAAGAGGAATGGTGGCTGCTCGGTAGGAAGAACAGCGTTTGGCCCTGTTAAGTATAAAACAAGGTGTATGATTGGTAAGGTGGCTGGGATCAAGGTTGCAGAAGATGAAGGGTTTGATATGAGACAAATAAATAAACGATATAAACATTTTAAGACATGAGAGGGTATTTGAAGAGGAGGAGACAATGAGTGAAATGAGAATATTTTTTCCTGTTTTATAGATGTTACATTAAAGATGGGCCTTATGTGAAAGGTGTGTGTTATAGGGTATTCTTGGAGTTAATGCAGGCTTTGGATGCCTTAAGAAGAGTTTATACTTAATTCTGGAAGCATTGTGACCCATTAACAGTTCTGAGGCATAACAGAAGCTAGATCACCTGTAGCTTTGTAAATTTAGTCAATTTAGTCTAAGGATCCCTGTGAAGTTTAGATATTACTACCAAATGCTTCTTCCTTCTCGCACCGATCTACTCAGCCAGTGGGCCACCAGTTAGAGAGCAACGCACCTTACTTTCCCCAGCACGTGAACATTCGCGGTTATATGAAGCATTTTATCCTTAATTACTTACTATTCCTTAGCTGTAACCAGAACTGAGCAAGAAGAAAAACACTTAAACTTTTTTAACGGATTATAGGAAAGTCTAGACTTTCAGAATAGATTGTGGCTGGAATTACTTGCTTACTCCTGGATGTCTAAGCTACTTTCCAGGTAATTTAAGAATACCTTGAAAAAAGGAGCATAAGGAAATAATGCTTTCCCACTTCTTCTCTTTTCCCTTATTTTTTTTTCCCCCACAAGATGGTTTGTCTGTTGCAATAAGGTTCCAGATTTCCCACAAGTTGCCCCCTAAGGTGGTAGCCTGCCCATGAATCCTGAACGTACCACGCTTGGTCCCAAACCCAGGACCTGTGGGCGTGTCAGTAGAGCTCTCGAGCCTGCTTAGATAGCCAGGCTCTGGTCATGAGGCCCCCTCCACAGGGGATTTGCCTGTTATGACCCAGTTGTTAGCTTATTTGTTTTTATGGAATATGAGTTCTTTTAGTTGAAGCACTTCTATGAAATTTACTTAAAAGTCTTTATTAGGAAGAGCAAAGGGAAGTAACCAACTGTCACTAGGTATAGCTGCTTTTTTTCCCCCACCCATGTGTTTGTTTGTATGTTTGTTTGTTTGTTTGTTTTAGCTGAGCCATCCTGCCACCTGTTGGCAGCTCAGTTGCAGCTCAGCTTGGGCCAGGAATTGAACCGGCAACCCTGTTGCTCAGAGCTCACACTCTTGAACGAGCTCTTAACCAACTGAGCCACTTGGCCGGTCCCCCACCCATGTGTTTTCAAATTCTGATACTCCATTTAGTCATGTAGTATCTGGAAGTAACTTGGAGAGACACCTCTATATGATGGGATAGGGTGAATCGAAACTGGAAAGGTAAGGGAGAACAGTGAGGACGAAGGCAGTGTGGAACCAGAAATGATGCTGCAAGTGTATACAACATGCTTACACTGTTTCTCAGGCTAGGCCTGTAATTTGGCTCTAAGCCTTCTAGTTGCCGGAAGGAAATGGAAACACTTGTCCATTACATTATTCACAGTGTTCATAAGAGA